ACACCTCTACCACAGCTGTAAACAGTATTACTGAATGTTTTACACAATACCACTTGAGTTCAGGATTGAAGCACTGGAGAGGGGATAGACTTTGTCTATTTCCCAAACTAGAACTTTTTCTTAAGCATGAAAAAGACTACCTGGGCAAAATATTCTTTTTCCCCCGTGGAATGCTAAGCTTAGAAAAGCCATGGAATCTTTTCTGGGGTTGTGGGATAAATAGAGACCATCCTTCAGGAACGGTCTGAGTATAATCTTCCCCAGATGAGACTCATCATTTTCTGAAGTCATTTCACACTTTACAATATATTATGTATGCATGAGTATGATATCATTTTTTAAAGTATATCTAATACTAGAAAACATAGAGGTCTCCCCAACTATTTGAATTCTTGCTATCCAAACTCTATCTAAACTCAAGAAGCAAATAGATTTGCAAATAAAAAGAATTTGTAAATTCTTCAATACTCAAACTTTTGTAACTGGCTCTCCTAGGCTCAGGAATGAACCAGATTTGGATATCACAGTATCTCTTACAATCTGGAATCTCACTATCTGAACACAGCAACCCAGTAAATCTGTCTCATAAAAAGGACTTACACCCCAGGGCTTCCCTGGTGGCGCAGTGGTTAAGAATCCGCCTGCCAATGCAGGGGACACAGGTTCGAGCCCTGGTCCAGGAAGATCCCACATGCCGCGGAGCAACTATGTCTGTACGCCACAACTACTAAGCCTGGGCTCTAGAGCCCGTGCTCTGCAACAAGAGAAGCCACCGCAATGAGAAGCCCGCGTACCACAACAAAGAGTAGCCCCCGCTCACCGCAACTAGAGAAAGCCCGCGCACAGCAACAAAGACCCAACACAGACAAAAATAAATTAATTAATTTAAAAAAAGGGCTTACACCCCAAAATATTAACTTGTTATCTTTAGATGATATAAATTACATGTAATGTACATTCTTCTTTATGCTTCTGCTTGGATTCTAGATTCCTTGAGGGTCCAAACCTTGTTTCCCATGCCTGTCTTACTCTTTAATGTAGTACACACAGAAGGAACAGCATAATAATAATAATAAAGGTCTTAAAAATTAAATAAATAAAATTCAAAAAAATTTTAAAAAATAAAGAGCGATGCTTTCTCCAAAAAAAAAATAATAATAAAGGTCTTTGACTTCCCTTCAGTTTCATCTTCCCCACTCTGACTTTCAGATAAAGGAGGACACTGTCTCAGACTCCTCAGCTTGAACTGCTGATTATTAAGATGTAGCCAAGCTCTTGTTGGAACACAGAGGCAACGCTTTAAAAATTTTAAAAGAATTTTTTTAAAGCTACAAACTTGATTGCATTGGTTTTTATGGCTATTTGATTTCCGAAGTTCTCAGAACCTGATCATTTGGATCACACATAAAAGCCACCGTGGAAGAAATCTCTTTAGAGATTAATATCCCCTCTTCCAGAGAAATGCTGCAGGGTAGAAAAAAAGGACCTGTCTAGAAGTATTAATAAATGGACTGGTATTTTCACAATGGATTAAAAGATACCCATTCCACAGATCAACTGCTATATTAATAGAACCTAAATATACAGTTACATATTCAACCCTGAAAGCAGCTTAAAAAGGTGAAATTCACCAGCGCCCACTTCAAATGGATACTTTCTAAAATCTAAAGCACACTATAAACTGTTGTCAGGGTTAAATAATTTTTCCATTACTTTCAGCATTATATACCTTGGTATTTTCATGTTACTAGCTCACAACGCACACCAGCTTCAGCAACTCATAGTATTTGCCTCCAAGGGCTATAATCTTCCCCCAAAAAGAAAAGGCCAAAGACAAATAAGACTATGAATCTGTGGGGGGGGGGTTTAAGTGTTATAATATTGCTTTATAAAATTGTAATCCCCAGGTGCAGAGTTCTGCAGCAGATGACTTCGGAGAGTCTCACATACAAATAAATATAAACAAAAAGCTTACTTACGAGAGCAGACCAGAGCGTGCCTAGATGTTCATCTCAAATATAATAGAGTAGGTAGTCTACCCGAGGCAGGACAAGAAATGTCTTTTCATTCGGTTCATCGCACTCCTGGATAAAAGTCCCTATTAAGTGAAACCCCTTGGTGGACTCCGTGGTGTGGGGGAAAGGGAAACAGCGTAGAATATAGTTTGTGACATTCGGAGGCGAGGAAGAGATGCTAAGGGCCGAGGGAGGACCGGGAGAGTCGGAGGGGAGGTCTCCTCTCACGCAAACAGCGTCGAGAGCAGAGACAGACTTCAGCTACGAGCAAAACCGCGTCCCTGAAGCTCAAAAAAGAGAGGGAGTAGGGAAAACTTTCCCGACCTTCTCCCAACCCTGTCCCCCCTCCTTGTCGGAAGAAACGCTAGCAAAGGCGCTAACAGTGCGGAGCCGGCCGCCCCATCACCCGCCCGGATGCAGCGCCCAGCGGACGGGGGGCCGGGGGGGCCGGGGGACCCGGGCCGGAGGGCGGGAGGGAGGGCGCAGGAGTAACAGGGCGCGCCGGCCAGGCCCGCGGGGAAGGGGGAGCAAGGAGAAGGCAGGGGCGAAAGGGGCCTCCGCGAGCTCGGGCCCGCGCCCCCCCTTCCCCACGGCTACCTGGGAGGCCAGCCGCGGCCGCGCGCCGTCCATGTAGGCCCAGCAGCCGGGAGCGCCGGGAGGACCTCGCAAGCGTTGCGGGACCCAGCGAGTGGCGGGCTTAAAGGCGGAGCTGGCGAGTGGGCCGGGGGCCGGGGGCCGGGCTGCCGGGTCACGTGGTCCAGGCCGCCTCACGTGATACCGCCTCCCAGCTGGCTCGGCCAGCCCCGGGCAAATCCGCTCGCCGGGCAGGCTGGGATCCTGTAGTCTCTCGGCCCTGGGCCGGCGGGCACGGGACTCCTCAAGAAGCCGATTGGCCGTCCGAATCCGCCCCCAGGCTCTGCGGAGAGTCGCGTTCGCGCTCGGTGGCTGCCGAGACTCAAAGGCTTTTGTCTCTCTGGGAACCAGGGACGCGCGAGGGGCGGGCTCCTGCCGCCCTCCCTGGATGATTGATTGGCCGTGGGGAGGGCCGTCCAGCCACCCCAAAGGGACCTAGGACGGACATGCAATTGGAAACTCCTCTCCCTGCTCCATAGCGCGCCCTACCCACGTGGGCATTACTGAGGTGGTGCTTGCAGGGAACAAAGGGCCTCGGAGGAGAGACTCGTTTTACTCCAGAAACGCCCCCACCATCCCCCCATTTATCTACCGGTCGAAAAGCCCCTAAGGCCCGGGAATAGAGAAGGTGGCAACTGAACCAAGATCAGAAGGAAGGAGGGAGTGAGGCACAGGGCCCAGGTAATGGAAGGAAGGAAGCGGTACCTCGGGGAAGCAGGCTGTCAAGATTGGAAGGGACCTAAGACAGCAAAAGACCCATTTTTTTTTTCTTGTTATAAATGAGTAAACCGAGGCTGGGAGTGGAGATGCTTCCTGGTGCTTCATGCAGCCTAACATCTATTGAGACCACAGTCATCTTTATAAAGTACTGCACAGCTTTCTGGAAACTCCCTGGCTCTACAGTATAAAGTCCCAACTTCTTGGCATAACTTTCCAAGCAATTTTGTTTAAACTTTCCCCATTTAAATAGGAAAACAGCATTTTCTAAGCTAAAAGAAGCCTACTTTTCCTCATCTTCCAGCGCTTGTGCAGTACTCCTGGAGGCTCTGGCTGCAGAGAATTCCTGTTTTCTTTGACTGCTCAATTTTCTTTAGATTACTTACTTTTTCCCTCAGTTGCTTTACTCCTCTTTATGTTTGTTCATTCTTTTGCCTCAGCCTGAAATGCCTTGAGTCAGCACCCTCTCCTCCCATAAAGAAAACCAGAACCAGACAGTAGTTAAGGCAGTAAAAACAGATTTTAATCAAAAACTATTGCAATAGGGGAACTGAGCCCAGTTGTATACTGAGGTTTCTTTTCCCCTATTGCAATAGTTCCTGAATAAACTCTGTTCTTACTGCTTTAACCACTGTTGAGCCCTTGTTATCTTTAACAACACGCCAAGGTACACATCAGTCTCCTACTCATCTTTCAAAATCCAGGTCAAATACCACCTACTCTTGTCTTCCTACCCTGCATCCTCCTCCTGATTCAACAGCATCGGCAACTGAAGTTCATTCAGATGGTGTCAGATGTAACTCCTTCCCTGATTTCCAGGACCTTGTACATATTCTGATACATAAATCTCACATTGCTCAAAAATGTACTGTTCACTTCCTCTAAGAAGTAAATTATCTATCCCTATCTTCTTCCCTAGATTATAAACTCCTTAAAACAAGACTTCTGGGCTTATTTCTGTGCCCTTAGTAGCCACTGAATGAGGAGGGTCCATGTGGTAGGCCCTCAACATCCACTGAGTGAAGGTCCACGTGATAGACCCTTAATATCCACTGAACGAAGTGGCTTGACCAAGGTAGCGGTTCAGTGAATTTACTAAAAGAGGCCTACTTTTCTCAAAACACTGAAGTCAGTTTCTTTAGGTATCAACCTGATCAAAATTGCTTCAATAAAACATGTTTGAGAAAAAATGGGGGTTTGCGTCATCGAACACTTCCTGAGCACTCACTGCTTATTGTGTGCCTGATGCTGTATTTGCAGCATCTTAGAGGATGAAAAGTTGAATAAGACGTGGTTGCTGATCTCAAGGAAGGTGTAGTCTGGTTATTCCAGTCCAGGGTGAAAAGTGTGATACAGAATGCTTAAGTGAACACATATGGGGGACCACGAATTATACAGGGGGTTAGGAAAAAAACTTCCTGGGAAGGTGAATTTCGTGGACAAGTGGTAGTTAGATGAAAAAGGGAGGGAAGGCTCTTCCAGAAGAGAGAGCAGTGTGTTCAAAGATAGGGAAGCCTGAAACAGTGTTATTTAAGAAAAGCAAGTAACACCTGACTGGCTGGACTTGATTACCTCATTTACATCTGGAACAAAGGAAACCTAATTAGGTTAATGTTAATGTACTTGAAAGAATTAGCCATTTATTAGTATCATTTATTGGATTGAGTAACTTTCCATTAGACAAATCCTAGGCTCTTCACCTAAAATTGACCTGTGCACTAGTGCTGGGTGATTTCTTTTTTTTTTTTACTTTTTTTTTTCCCAGCTCCAGAAGCTCTCTATAATTGTTATCTGAAAACAGCAAAATTAGTTGTTCCAAAGATTATTTTAGAGCTCTCTAACCTTTTTCTACAGGGCAAAAGTCTGTCAATTTACAAGTAGTACTTTAAGAAGAAACTGGGCTCTATCTCCAAGGCAGGCGAGGACAAGGACTCTTCCTCCTGGCGTTCACGCTAATACAGGACCATGCTGGTGAAAAGCATCTGTCAAGAACCTAGGGAAACACAGTTAACAAAAGGGTTAAGGTGGGTGGGACACAGAACAATTCTAATCACTCTTAGAGGCTTCAGAAGTTCATTTCAAAAGGTAATCTCTCAGTAAATGGAAAATTAGAACATCATCTTTTGTTTGCTCCCTTTTCTTCCACTGTGCTCTTCTCCTGTAGGTGTCATTTGGGGCAGGTGTGGGTCAGCCAATCCAGCCCCACTTCCTTCAGCTGGACTTGATTGAGTGCACCTCTTACACAATTTTCTTTGCCAAGAAAATCTTCTGAAGGTCCCCCTAGGCGGACACTTGTTTTTCATGCGTCACTAGAAAGTTCTTGACAGTCAGCAAGCAAAAATAAAAGGGATTTCAGTTACTTCCTCAAAGACTTGAATGTTATTTCTCCTGAGAGAATGAAAACAGCTGGGAGCACTCAGATTATCTCCACCTTTTCTTCTCTGCCCCTCCCTCTTCTCATGGCTGGTCAAGATTGAGAGAGAGAAGCCAGAGGACCACCAACTCTTACAATGGCTAAATAGGGAATATTTAGGTCACTATATAAGATTGTTTACCTGTGTATGTAATTCATAGTCAGGAAATCTGTCTGACATTCTCAAAAACATCATTATTTCTGAGAATTGAGAATGACATAACTTTTAGGGTTTTGCAAATGTAATAAAATATAGACTCTATCTAGAGGGAGATTCCACCGTGATTTTCAGTTAGCTTAACCAAACAGGTAAACATGATCAGTCACAATGAGTTTTACAACCTCAATCCTTATTGATCAAACTACTTTGGGAATAATTTCTGCTCTTATAGTTGGGATAAATAAACATGGCATAAAACAGGGCAGGGCAGGGGGAAGCTTGAGAGAAGTGATAATGGAGACTAGGAAAAGAATTTTAATTCTAATTCCTTTTTTCCCTCACCCCAAGAACCAGATGAATTCCCTTTGCTCACCATGAAAACACATTAAATAAACAAACAAGCATCTTAGCCCTGGCTAAAGTAGACCACTCTGCTGATTCATATCTTCACCTGCACTGAGGCAGACGCTATGCTGAACAGGTGGCATAAAAAGATAAACCTGGGGTGGGATAGGGAGGGTGGGAGGGAGACGCAAGAGGGAGGAGATATGGGGATATATGTATATGTATAGCTGATTCACTTTTTTATAAAGCAGAAACTAACACACCATTGTAAAGCAATTATACTTCTATAAAGATGTTAAAAAAATAAATAAACAATAAAAAGATAAACCTACTTTGCTCCCTGGACCAGACATGAGACTGCTCCTCTCATAGTATCAATATCACTCCCACATAAGATCACCTTTATGTGTAAAAGTGATCCAATACACTCCGTTTAGAATTGCTTCCTTGCCCTTTGTCAGATGAAAGAGCTTCTTAAATATGGAATTCAACCAAGGAATCCACTTTATAACAAAGGAGAGGTAGCAGTGGGCACATGGCTGTGGAATCCACTGGACCTATCCCTTGGCAAAACACCCAGAAGCTACTGGCCTAATAAGCAATAGAGCAGCCTGTTGAAAGCTTGGCTGAATCGTCATCTTGGGGATGATACCCTATGAGGATAAAGTGCTACCCTCAAGGATGCAGTAATGCTCTAAATCAATCACCATTATATGGTGCTGTATCCCCAGAATACCTGGGAATGAGATCCAAGTGTGGAAGCAGGAGTGTCCCTGTTTACCATCAATTCCAGTGACCCACTTGGGGAATTTCTGCTTTTTCATCCTCACAACTGTAACCACAGGTTTAAAGGTCTTGGTTCTCAGAGGGGGAACATTTCTACCACGGAACACAGCAGGAATATCCATTGAACTTTAGGCTACACCACCACCCAGGCACTTTGGGCCCCTCGTTTCAAGGACCAGCAGGCAAGAGTAAGATCCTGGTGGGCGTAATTGACTCTTACCATCAAGAGGCAGTAGGGCTACTGTTACACAGTGGAGGCAGGGAAGCATGTGTTTGGGGCACCCAGATAATCAGCTTAGACATCTTTTAGTACTGCCTTGTGCAATTTTGATGACAAATGGACAAGAGCGGCAGGTGCAGCCTGAGAAGGGCATGGTAAACAGTAACTGGAACCCATGGGTTTAGAGAGCCTGAGTCACTCCACTGGGTAAATCACCTAAACCTTCAGAGGTGCTAACTGACAGTGAGGAGGGAGAGGATGGCTACTGGTTGCAGCCTCAAGACCAACTGCAGCAGCAGGGGGGGGTGTAGTTCATCTTACTAACCTTCCTCTTTACAAGTTTCCCAAGGAAAAATGGCACCCCAGTGTCCTGAAGGAACTGCTCCTTAGATTTGTGTGAAGGAAGTGGATCTGAGTGGCGCAAGGCATGGACTGTCCTGCATGTGATACCGCCCTGCCCAGAACACAGCTGCAGCCCTCTTAGGAATCGCTTCAGCTGAAGAGAACTGGTTTGCTGAAAGTCAGCCCCCTTCTGGGAAGCCAGCCTCCCCTGAATGATTGCTGCTCAGTCTTACTTTCTTTTGCTCAATAGGTGTTAATTAGAGTCCCTCCTAATAAACTTTCTATGTGCTAATCATCTCAGAGTCGACTTCCCAGGAAATCTTATCTTTGACAGTCTCTTTAGTGTAGATTGCTGTTTGAAGGAGAAGACACTAAACAAGTAAAATAAATTCATGACTTGTACTCTGAAGGAGATGAGCAAGATGCAGTAATAGCAAACACAGGGAAGGTGTACTTGGAGAGGAGGTGACATTTAAGCCAAAAATTATACGATAGAAGTCATGGGAAGAGCAGGTAGGAGAGCGTGTCTTAGGAAGAGAAACATCTTGGATAAAGGCTCTTCCCAAAGAGCTTAGCCTGTTGAAGTACCACCCAGAGATCTGTAGTCCTTTTAAAGGATTTTTTTTCAAATGCAATGGGAGGCCTTTAAAGGGTTTTTAAGCAAGAGTGTAAAATGCTGTGATTTGCACTTTTAAAAAATTCTCTCTGATAGTGAGGAAAAAGACGGGATGGGAAGAAACCATTAAGGGGGTCACTGCAACATCAAGAAACATGCCCACCCAAAGTTTGCCCCTTCCCTCCAAACCATGTTCCAGGTGCCCAAGACCCTGGAATTCCCAGTCCACTTCTAGGATCTGCATGGACCTCTTCCCTATATCCATCCCCCCTAAGACAGACTGCACACCCTTAGGGCCATGGGGTGGTCAGGGAGGGACTGTTGTAGGGCTTGGAAGTTGAGTGTCCCCAAGCATATGTGTAAAGCTCCTTGCAGTGTGAGATGAAGCCAGGTTTGGAAAAGATGGGAGGTGAACTCTGGGACAGGGACCAGGATGATACTCCCTCCCTGCTGTGCCAAGTTCCAGTATGGAACCCCAAAGATTCCAAGAATACTAAATTCAAGGCTTGGCCATCCAGGTTATTAAAAAGCTGTATTTGTCAAGACACAATAGAATATATTTTATTCAAGTTGTTGGCTTGATTTTTAACTCATAAATTTTTAGACATATGATATGTGGGCCTCCATTTGTAATTTTGCACTGGGTTCTACAAATGTTAAGGATGGGCCTAAAAGTCACATTCACCTACAAAGAAACAATACACATACAAAGCTGGCTTCTTATTACAAACAATAGATGCCAAAGATAATGAAATAATATCTTCAAAATGATAGGGGAAAATATCTGTTAATCTAGAACTTTCTATCCAGTTAAGCTAACATTCAAAGGTGAGGATAAAATAAAGACATTTTCAAACCAAGACTAAGAGAATTTCCCACTCACAGACTCTTGCAGAAAGAAGAAAAATAAACCAAGGAGGAAGGATTAGAATGCAAGAATCAATAATGAGCAAAGAAATCAGTAGATACATTGGTAAATCTAAGTAAACACTGACTATAAAAAATTACTAATTTTTAGAGGGTAAACACAGGGTGAAACTAGGATGTTACACAGCAATCACATTGAAGACGAAAGGCAAGATTCAGAGTTTAACATTCTAAGGTCCTTATGATGTTGCATATACAATGTTAAAAAATTTATCTATTACTTTTAATATTTTTAAGGAAAACATCTTAAGCAAATATGCAAAAAAGAAGGAAAAAAATGAATAGTTAGGATGGACTGAAAAAAGCAAAATAAGTTTAACCAGTAGTACATATAAAATCATCCTCATTTCAAAATGGAAAATCAGGCACCAATGTATTCTTTGTAAACTTCCTCTAACCGAAACCATTGACCATAAAATACCATCTCTGCCACTATTGTTCCCCAATTATAAAGTATTGTTCAGCTGCTGCTCTTCATTCTTATAAAACTCCATGGAAGATAGATACTAAAATGTTAGGGGGAATCTCATATACTTGGGGCTTTTATACCAGTGAGTCTAGTATCAATAACTATTTGCACAAAACTCTACTCTTTTCTGTGGGCAATACCACAGAAGATCTCGAGGAGACCTTCAAGACAGCAGAGGAGTAAGACGTGGAGATCACCTTCCTCCCCACAAATACATCAGAAATACATCTACATGTGGAACAGCTCCTACACAACACCTACTGAACAGAAGACCTCAGACTTCCCAAAAGGCAAGAAACTCCCCACGTACCAGGGTAGGGCAAAAGAAAAAAGAAAAAACAGAGACAAAAGAATAGGGACGGGACCTGCACCAATGGGAGGGAGCTGTGAAGGAGGAAAGGTTTCCACACACTAGGAAGCCCCTTCGCGGGCGGAGACTGGGTGGCTGAGGGGGAAAGCGTCGGAGCCACAGAGGAGAGCACAGCCACAGCAGGGGTGCGGGGGGCAAAGTGGAGAGATTCCCGCACAGAGGATCGGGGCCGACTGGCACTCACCAGCCCAAGAGGCTTGTCTGCTCACCCGCCGGGCCGGGCGGGGGATGGGGGCTGAGACTCGGGTTTCGGAGGTCGGATCCCAGGCAGAGGACTGGGGTTGGTGGCATGAACACAGCCTGAAGGGGGCTAGTGCACCACAACTAGCTGGGAGGGAGTCCAGG